AGAGAGAGAGAGAGAGAGAGAGAGTTAAGAAGTAGGGATCTGAGTTGTACCCATCATGGTGCGTGGTTGGAGTCCTGCGTTGACGACTCAGGCTACGAGAGAGAGAGATAGAGAGAGAGAGAGAGTTAAGAAGTAGGGATCTGAGTGGTACCCATCATGGTGCGTGGTTGGAGTCCTGCCTTGACGACTCAGGTTACTTTCAGGGATTCAATTAGAGTAGGGAAGGGAGTACCCGTTCGTTTTTATCTTGTTTTTTGTTGTATTTCCTTGTTGTCTATTCTGGGGGCGGGGTTCTGGAATGCACAGGTGTTGTACCTGTTTTGTAGTGGAATTGTTGTATAGGACTGACAAAGTTGCAGGTCTGGTATCTGTTTTGTAGTGGAATAGATGTACTAGGCCTTGGAAAGTTCCTGGTCGATAGTCAATTCCACTCGAATGGGGAGCAATCAATGATGGTCTGACTTGAGAGGGGAAGGGAGTATACTTGCGCTGTATCCGTTCTGCTGCGTGGTTGAAGTCGCGCATTTGGCAAACTTTTTTTTTTTTTTTTTTTTTTAAATAAACAGAACCTCTCGGCTCAACTTTTCGGAGGGAGGGACGCTTCGACCGGCGCGGAGCGCTCCGTTGCGGCGTCACCGGTTCAGGGGAACCGGTACCACCAGCCACCATCCGGGCACGCAGCTCGGGGAACTGGCCATCGCCCACCGCCCTACCTAGCGCCATCGCTAGGTCAACTCTTCTCGCCTTGTCGAGTAATGGGGGGCATGGAGGCGAGTTGGTGGTTCAGAACCAACAATACTTTGCCACTTACTGTGTACTACGTGTAACTGGACAGGCGCGAAGTAAGCGCCCTGTCCCTGATGTGTTCAAGGCAACCATCACCTACCCGCTACGTTGACTTAGGGCAGGGAATTGCTGATATCGGTCGACTGGCATCCCATCATGTCAACAACAGAGCTCGAACATCAGCCGCCCACCGAACCGGTGACAGGTAATCCCTTCTCCGTTTGTCCTTGCCACAATCGCTTCTATCCATCTACCCTCCTACGGTAGCTCTTCCTCCTCTGACATTTCCGGAGGTCAACGACTCCCACCCCTCATATCTATCCAGTTGTATGCTCTTACGGCCCGGACAGGGTCTGCTGGTATTGACTGGCCGACATCATACTGCGTCACTCCCTACGTACTCACTGTGTCTGCCCCTCTTCATGCCCCTCCCTACGCTTCGCCCCCTCACCTATCCATCCGATGTTTTTCCCGACCACTACGTTGACTTGAAACAGGGCTAGCTCGACTTGATGGGCCGATATCACACCGCGCTAACAACACAGCTCGCGGCATCGGCTGTCTAGCGAGCTGGGTTCAGGTTCTCCACCGTCCGCTCCATGCTCTTCATCCTGTGGACTCTCCCTACCATCTCCAGCTAACGCCCCGATTCCCCATACTCTCTTACCTCTTACACCCACCTACGTGCGTCTCCTCTATATTAACCCCGGTAGCCAGCTATCTATCTGTTCCCACGCCTTCACGGATGCGGTAGAGTCATGCAAGCAAACATGGATGCGGCCAATCCTCCCCCAGCGGTCGGTAATCAACACGCTGGTACAGGTCCATCACAGGGTCTGACCACAGTAGCGGAACAGCAGGGGGATTTGCAGAGGATACGAACCTTGCTAGATACGTGCTACGACGATGGTCTTTTCCCCGAGACCTCCTTCTCGCATGGAGAAATCGAAGTTATAGAGTGAGTAGGCTATTTAAATCTCAGCGACGAAGTAGATGCCGCGACTGTTGCATGGATAAAAGAGAGAACGGTCATTGCCATTTTCGATTCTAGGGCAGCCACATTCTCTGTAGCACAACGGGAGCAATTCCTAAGGATATATGAGGATGCATGGTTCCAGGACATTAACTTTAATCCGTCACAGAAGCGCGGTCGCACGCACCGGGAAGGACCCAACGTGATGTCCTACGTAGCACGCACCAGCAGGATCGCGCAATGGATGATTGCCAAGGGGCAGGACTTCATACCCTCTACGCAAGGCCCGGTCAAAGTTGCCTTTCGACCGTGGATGACGCAACAGGAGCTCGATCAGATCAGGGATGCAGAATCTGCAGCACGATACAGGATAATTGCACTACACGTCCCCTTGGGAGCCTTGTTTTCACTGCGCAACGCAGTCGAAAGGCTCATGGGTCCTATCATCCATATGCACCCTCCTGATAGGAGGGAGGATGAGCCTAGATTGGGCAATGTGAAAATTGATTGCGTTAAACGCAATTTTATGGAATGGATTGTTCTTAGACGCCCCACGGGGCAAGCCATGCAAGTGCAATTCGCCAATCAGGACACGGCTTTCTGCCAGAAGTGCCTGTGGTGGTTTCACGACGAGTTTGATCCCGCGGGCACGTCAGGTTGTAGGAGCAGATCCCGTGGAGGCGGACGTGGTCAAGCAGGCGGTAGGGGCAGGCCACAGCCGGTGGCTGCACGGCAACCGTCGGGACCTCCCCCCCCCCGCCCACCCGCCCAACAGCAACCGTTGCATCCACAGCCCGCACACCCCCCCCCCCCCCAACCTGCAACTTCGCAGCCACCAATGCAACCCTCCCAACCCACACGAAATCCATACCCCCAACAGTCTCTCAACCCATCAGCTTCTTCTACATCAGCACACCCCCCCTACGCCACCTCAGCAGTAGCTCCCTACCACCCCTCACATCCCCCGCCAGCTCAGCTGCCCTTCCAGGGCGCAATGACTCCCTATCACTCTCAGCCGATGGCCCACCCGCTCCTTCCAAGCACCCCTTTTCCCAACTGGCGCCCTCCAAGACCCCCAACAGTCCTCCCTTCTGCTACACACCCACATGTCCCTCTCATTCCGCCTCCCACACACCCTTCTCAGAGCCAGTTTTCGCCCTTTGTGAGATCTCCCCCGTTAGTCTCCCTTGGCAGACCTCAACTCCCCCCCCGCTGCAGCTTACAGCCCGGTTGCATTCATCCCATTCACCTCATCATCGGCACGAGTCCATACCAGTAAACCACGCCACTGCCACAGCAGTCACTGTCATTACTCACACCCAGGATCCAAACCCACACCTCCCATCCCAGCACACAATGCACCAACCGTTCACTACATACAATAATCCTGAGGTCGTCCACTGCCCCCTCCCTCACCAAGGAACCGGAGCTTCATCTTCAGGTGGGCAGGCCTATGGGCAGTTGGCATTGACAGTGAACGCAGAAGGCGTCCATCAGGGAGCAGGGAGTAGTGCAGTCCGGTTGGTGGCAAGCGATGCAACAATGAGAGATCCGAGATTGGTCCTTCGCACTCCGGTGAAACAAAGAAGAATCAACGAGGATGGGGAAGGTCTGATCACGCAGGAGGAAGAAGAGGGGGAACTGGACTTCTTCGCAGTTAACTCAGTGGGGCCCTCAGCTCACCAAGTGAATCCACAGGGACATCACAAGGCTCTTCCGCTGGCTCAGTTTCCAGCACCAACGCAGCAGACCTCCAGCAGCAGGCTTCCAGCAAACTCTATCAGGCACCAGCTTGTCTTGCTTCTCTTCATGCAGTCTCCGCAAGGTATGAAGTTTATGGCACGAAGAACAGACAAGGGATGCCTGGCGATACCAACTGTGGCGGTTAGTAGCTCCCCTACTACGAAGGAGGCGGTAAAGTCAGTGGCTGCAACCTTTATAGCAGAGAGATTTGCCTTCAGATCAGTACCGGGCATCTGAATCGGCCGTAAAACTGTGGCGGCCAGCGCAGGAGGCAGCTGGCGCTTCTCAATAGGGGTGCTCGATGTTAAGATCAATCTGGACACAGCAGCATTGTTGGCCACACAAGATGTCGTTTGGCTGCCCTCCAGCTGGCTGGCCTCCACGGCAACAGAGGAGCTGCAGGAGACCTTCTTGACGGACGATGTCAATGCTAAAATTGTAGCGGAATTCTGCACCACTTTGGCTACAGATAAGCAGCCACATTCAGCAGGATTCTGTAACTTCTCGCACCTTGGGGCAACCCGGGGGATGGGGAGGACATGAAGGTCGAGGCCAAGATCGACAGAAGACTCGCAGCGAACCCAGGCTGAAGACTTGGATCCATGATCAGAGAGTTCAAGTGGCGCTGCTTCAAGAAACCAAGCTTGATGAGGGTAAAATTCAACAGTGTAGTTCTTGGTGGAAGGGCCCGCAGTTGTGGGCACCAGCAACGGACACGAGAGGAGGGTGTGCCATTCTTACTCATAGGAACCTCAAAGCGGACATACTGGAGCAAGAGGCAGACATCTGGGGCCGGTGGGCCTGGATGCAGCTCCGACTGGGAAGGGAGACCTGGCTCTTTATGACCATTTACCCCTTCAGATACAGCGGAGCGGAGATATTTTTTGGAAGAGCTCCCCGCCATTGTACCCGACGCAGATAATGTTGTCCTTGCAGGAGACTTCAACTTGATTCTGACTCCAGGCCTGGACTCCCCAAAGATCGCTCCTAGGAAAGCTGACGCTGTCATGATGGCAGACTTCATGACGGAAAGAGGGCTGGTGGACACCTTCAGGACGACACACCCGCTGGAGCCAGGTTTCACCTGGTTCTCATCTGCAGCCACGGAGGACCGCCCTGCTCCGCAGAGAAGGCTAGATCTGGTCCTTGCCAAGGGAGCAGCCTGGGAGGCATTAACAGATGTTGACTGTCATTGAGACTCTCTCCGATCACCGCCCAGTTGTGGCAACTTTTGAAATGGCAGATCAATTGGCAAGAGGGCCAGGCACTTTCCGTCTTAACACGGATCTGCTCAGCATCCCAGAGATCACAGAGTGGGTGGCCAGACACTGGACTGAGTGGGCTCATACGAAGGACTGGTTTACATCAGAGGGGGAGTGGCTACAGACAGGCTTCCGTATAGTTACAAGAGCCCTTGATGTGTTCTCAAGGATGCAAGCCAGGGGCAGGAGACAACAGGAGGAAGACTGTCGACGAATGATAGTTGAGGGAGAAGCGGAGCTCAATGTGGAACCTCTAGCTGAACTGTATTGGCAGCACCGAAGAGACAGAGCGCTACTGCAGCTAGAAGTTATGCAGGTGGAGCAGCAAACAGCATGGGCAAGGCGTGCGCAAGAGAGAGGAATGATCACGGGAGATCGCATGACAAGGGAAACCTTTCAGCGAATCTGCCCCCCGCAAGCACACGCGCTTATGAGAGAGTTACATCATCCGTTCCATCAGGAAGCAGCTCCAGCAAAAGACTCCGCAACAATAGGGGAGTACGCCCTAGACTACTTCAGCGATATCTTGACGTCGCGTCGGCAGCCGGATCAGTCGCTGCACCAACTCAGGGATGAGCAGGACCTCTGGCAATTTACACAGGTTCAACTCCCACCTGAAGCTCGTCTCCTCCTGGACCGTCCATTGACACTCGAAGAACTTTGGGAAGCAGTAAAGTGCATGGCACGTGGGAAAAGTCCCGGATCAGACGGCCTACCAGTTGAATTCTACCAAGCGGTGTGGGATCACGTCGGCCCTCTGCTGCTCACTCTCTACAACCGGATCTTGGAAGGAGGCATGCTCACTGAAGACATGAAGCTGGGAATCGTTACGCTAATCTACAAAAAAGGCCATAAACGCAACATTCGGAATTGGAGACCGATCTCCCGACTAAATGTATCCTATAAGATCCTCGCAAAGGTGCTTGCAAGAAGACTCGCTCCATACCTACCGGCGTCAGTGCACGAGGATCAGGGCGCTTTTGTTCAGGGAAGATCGATCAGCGAGAACATCATGATGGCTGTCGGAGCTTTGGAAGTCATACAGCGCGAGAACAGGCAAGTGATGGTTGCCATGCTTGACCTCGAGAAAGCGTACGATCGGGTCAACTGGTCCTTCGTACTCGCTACTTTAGAACATATGGGCTTCGGGCCTTGCTTCAGACGGTGGGTGAAAGAGCTCTATGCAAATTCCACCTCCCACTTTCTCGCTAACGCGCTCGCTTCGCCAAGGCTGTCCGTTGGCATCTCTCCTCTTCGCTTTGCAGATGGAGATTCTTCTTAACTCGTTGCGAGCATCAGCCTGCATTCAAGGGCTGAACTTGGGCCGAGGGGACACGCTGCTTACGGGAGCAATAGCAGACGACCTCCTCCTCGTAATGGAAGCGGTCTCGGACTCCACCTATGAGGCGAAGAGACTTTTGGATGCATGCGCCACCTTATCCGAAGCCTGTGTGAACTGGGGGAAATCTGCCTATTTCCTCCCGGCAGACTATGAGCTGGAAGGCCTGGACTGGGGTATGAAACGCATACCCTCAGATCTTTCTGAGTGGTATCTAGGGGTGCAAGTCTCCCTGACAGACCCTCGACCGAAGCAGGACGCCATATTACGAGCCAAAACCCAAGCTAGCCTGCAGCGCTGTCGAACAGCAATTGGTATGTCTCTGCTGGGTCGAGCAATGTTACTCACTTCTGCCGTCTTTTCACAGATCTGGTTTGTGGCACTCGTGTGTCTCCTCTCCAAGTCCACTGTCAGACTCATAACAGCGGATGCGGCGCACTACCTTTGGAAGCCCTCAGCACAGGAAGGGCAGGGCTACATCTCAAAAGTCTCCTGGGCCAAAGTTACCATGGCAAAGCAGAAAGGTGGTCTCAGCATTGTTGATCCAAGAAAGCAGAATCTCTCGTTGTTAACCAAATGGCTGCTCAAGGCGGCCACTCAAACAGAGCGCAGGCCTTGGCTGGTAGTGCTCGAGTACCTTTTGCAGCAGGAGCTTTCGCTTTCGCGAAGGGAGGACGTCTGCACCTGTGTATTTATGACATCCTATTCCCGCAGACAACTCCGTTCCCCTATTGCAAATGCATGCTGGACTGCTTGGAGGCTTTTGCTCCCAACTTCAAGAAAGGAGCCCACAACAAGGGAAGAAGTCCTGAGGCAGAACTTATTTGACAATATTATGATTCGCAATGCCCAAGGCGAGCCCTTTCCTGCAACTGCAACTCCGGGCAATTTCGGCAGAAAGTGGACGGAGAGAGGCATATCCGGAATCGCAGACATTTGGGATGGGGAGGTGAACGAATGGGTCTCCCCGCAGCAATTAAGACAAAAGTTGCACGGGCTTCATCTCCTGGCTGACAGGCTTCATCAATTAACCGAAGCCATCCCTCCACTGGAGAGCGCTCCTCTCCTCCACAGAGCCAATTGAAGGTGAATGGTATAGGCAATAAGACCTAACTGTAGGGAGTACAATACTGCGCATAGTGGAGCAGCTGGAGGATGACACTTGGCGGGCTCAAGAATGGATCCCGACAAGCGACCAGAAGAAGCCAGGCCGGCTCTGTCTACAGGGAGAGTCCGCTGTGCATATTGAGCAAAAGCTTTGCCTAGTCCGGGTTTTTACTACTACTGAGGCAGGGGTCATTACACATGAGTTGCTGATGGGTGGTCAGATGGTAAGCAGCATGAGAATCGATCCAATGGGCCATTACTGGGAACCAACTGCGAACCACAGAAAGTATCTTTTTCAGTTCAACTCCAAGCTAGGGAGGCAGCTACTGGATGGAACAGGGAGCCTTCCGACGGATGCTGTTAATGCACTCAACAGGATAACTACAACACAGCAACCTGTCACTGGTTCTGAGCTCCAAGCCCTATGGGATCAGGTACCTGCGCTTCCGTCACAGAAGCTGTCCAGCCTCCTCTGGCTGCTGTCACAGGCTGCCATCCCTAGCTCCGTCTGGCTGTTCGAGAGAGGTATGGATGTCGAAACCAAGTGCCACCGCTGCGGGCGAAGACAGGAGGAAAGCATCAACCACCTTTTCTGGGCATGCCCAGCATCGAGACGGATATGGCAGTGGTGGGAAAGTCACTGGATCAAGTTTGTTGGAACTCTCCTAACCTGGGATGAGGACTGGGTGATGACTGGACGAATTCCTGCCACCTGGTTCAAACATATAGGGAGAGGTTGTGGCACAGGCCATTCGCTCGATCCTCATTTGGGTAATTTGGGAGGATCGCAATAACATTCTTTTCAGGCAGGAATGGTCAAATGATCATATGACCATTCACAAGGTCAAGGCATGGATCCGCACGATGATCCGAGTGGACTGGGTCAGGAAAGCAGCAAAGGGTCGAACGCGCTCAGGTCGCCATTGGTTTCTGGTCACATGGGCTAGAGATAATCAATTGGCAGCCAGGCAAGTTGGTTGTTACACCTTGGTTGCAGGCCTAGCGATCCTGGGCAACTGCATTCCGCTTCTTCCCCCCCCCCCCCCCCCCCCCCCCCCGTCTTGTATTCATTCTCACCTCTACTGTTGTTCCCTCACCCACTCTCTCCCCTCCCATTTTCTTGCTTCCTTGAACCAGGGCACTCGGTTCCTGTCGGCGGATGCAGTAGACCGCACTGGGTGAGGAAGGGTGGTAGAGTGTCTTGGACCAGCTCCGTAGGAAAGAAGTTCCTTCTGGTTGTCTTAGACCAGGTGTAGCTAGTACTGTTTAGATTCGTTATTGGACTTACTGATTGGTGTTTCGTAGCCTAGGGGCTCTTCAGGAATGGGTAGGAGTAGTAGACCGAAGTAGGAGGGAATTTGGGTATTCATTTGAGGTGGTTAGTTTAGATACTATTGGGCTTTTGAGACACTGAAGCTATACCGCCTGATGCTGCCGGGATAACTCCGGGTTGAATTGTGAGGTCCCCGGCCTCTTTTTCAGTGATGTTTTGAAATGAAAAGTTTCGTTTTCTTGTCTCGGTTCTGGCTCCTGCCATTCTGGGGAGCAACAGTCCGTGGTTGAAGTCGCGCGTTTGGCAACTTTGGTTTAGGTTACGCTGGAATTTTGGTCTGGGAGACTTTAGGAGTAGACCTGAGTACACCTGAGTTCTACGCACTGTGGTGCGTGGTAAGAGTCCTGCCTTTGGCAACTTAGGCTTCCCCCTACCCTCTTCACCCGAATAGAATGCCTGGTCATTATCGCTGTATCTAGACCGAAAGTTGCACCAAATACAGCTATAATGACCGGTCGTTCTATGCGGGTGAAAACGGTAGGGATTCGTCTCAGGAGTGGACGGGACTAGACAAGAGTTGAACACATCGTGGTGCATGTTTAATGTCCCGCCTCCAGCAACTGAGGCTACCGGAGGTCCTTGGTCCCGCCTCCAGCAACTGATGCATGGTTAATGTCCGGCCTCCAGCAACTGAGGGCCTTGTGTGAGTATGCCCTGATCAGAACAGATACTACGCTTTATCTTAGCCAAAAGGCCCAGAAAGGTATAGTCAGGCGTCTTTTGGAATGTCTTGCTGACTGAAAATGGCTAGTTGGGAGTCTTGGGACCTTTTGATGGGATAGTGGACCCAGTTTCCACTACAAGTGGAAGTTTATACTGGTCCCAGTGTCTTACTTGGTAGAGTTATGGGGTTCCTGGGCCTGAAGTGCAATCTTTTAATAAATCTTCGTTGCCCCCCTCCTCC